TAAAAATCGGTTCATTCATTCATAAGTTATTGCGGTTTGAAAATTTAAAAAATAGTGTTTTATTCAATTTCTACCAGCTCGGAGAGCTCAAAACTAAATGAAAATTATATTTTTGAGCTCGAAGAGCTTAAAAACGTAATAAGTGCAACTTTGAGCACTTAATTACGAAAGTAGCGGGAAGATGCAGGGATGGCCTTCAGGCTTAACCGATTTCCTAATTTTTTGATAACTTTTAAGCGACTTTACCGATCAATTCCAAAAACTAATCAGCTTTTAACATTATAAAACTACGTTGATCGCTGCCAGTCCGGTTAAGATCGGTTCATTCTTTCGTGAGTTATCGTTGACGAACGAAAACCGAAAAAAGTGTTTTTTTTTAATTACTCTAAAATTTTTTGTTCTATCAATTCAAACTTGAAAATTGTTTATGAAGCTTAAAAAACTGCGTTGAATGCTACCAACAGCGTGAAAATCGGTTCATTCATTCAAAAGTAATTGCGATTTGAAAATGTAACGGGTGGTTTATTTTCCGTACGATTGGCCCTATTATTTAAATTTAATAAAACAACAAAATAGCAACAAACGATCTTAAAGTTAAATAGGGCGCCACCAGGATTATTTTCTTGGTTCCTGGAACCGGATGCCAGAGCTGAGCTTCTCATTCTACAGCGAGAGAGAGAGAAAGAGAAAGGTGGTCTGAAATAATTAAATCTTTATTAACAAATAACCGGTTTTTATTCAACAATAAAATTTAACAATTTTGCTGACAAATCAGCTCTCTTATAAACTATCAACTTATTATCTAGCGACGCGGAGAATTTACTGCAAAAATGACGATATTTACAAACGACCCTTTTTTTCCACGAATGATGAGATGACTAGCTGGGATGTTCTAACTGACGGTCTCCCACAACCTGATTACGACTAGTTATGCTTTTTCAGAACAAACGGTCTCCCACACCTGACTAATACTAATTGGGCTTTTTCAGAACAAACGGTCTCCCACACCTGCCTAAAACTAAACTTAATCCTGCAGTACCCTCACTTGAGCGTCTATACTGCAGTTTCTAATCTTATCACCGCGGTACCCCACTTGGCGTCTATACCACGGCTACTACCTTACTACCGTTGTACCCCACTTGGCGTCTATACAACGGCTTCTAACTACGTCGCGTTGTCCACTCGGCACACACGCTCTAACTAAGGATATCTCTGTCTCACACCTCTACACCACACTATCTCCACACACATAACCCACGCGTCTTTACACACACACTGATTCTACTTTACTATTTTATTTCCGGATTTACTAAATTAACTCCGAAAATTTACAACGTTAATATTCATTAAAATTGACCAGTCATCAGCTTACAATAATAAAAACTCCTGAATTTATTCTCATAAATTAATAAATTTTCTTCTTAAAAATTCCGGCTTAAACCGACACTTCTTCTCCCTCCATTTTTAACACGAGCTTATTTCTGCGCATTAACAAAATTCTTAGAATGTTCTTTGCGTAAATTTTACTATATTTTTCACGGACGTAATCCACACGAATAATTAGTTCTATAAATAATTTTACCGGAATAACAATGATAATAAATTATTGACAATTTTTACAGGACATTTTCAATATAAGACTCCCCAAGCAGAAATTGGCTATTAAATTAGATAATAATTTATAATTTTACTAAATGTAAAAATTACATGCCTCAATTTTTCCTGCGGGTGTATCAGTCTCATTTGCGTCGAAATTTAATAAATCAATTCTCGATAATTAATAACACGTGGAATAATAAATTTCTAGTACTTTACGAATGACGATTAGATTATAAATAATTCACCTCAGTGTGAAAATGTAATCTCAAAAAATTATCCACGGTCATAAATTTCTAAATGCGACGCAGTTTTCCTCAATAAATCAATTCCGGTAATTAAAATTGTTCCGAATAAATAATTAAATAATTTTCCACAATTAATAAATAAAATAAAATAATTAATTAAGTGGTAATTCAATCGTTAAAATTAGTCCATGCAATTATTTTATAAATTTTACTGCGTCACAAATTCTCATGGAATGTGCGCTCAAAATGGACGCCATTACTGCGTAGTTAGCTTGACCTCGGGTACCGAGAGACGCTTGACTGGTCGTGAGCTATGACTGGAATGTTTTCTCGGTGTTCAGAAAATTATACTAATAATTTGTTAATAAAAAATGAATTCATTAATTCCAATCAAAGGTGTTAATTATTATTAACCTGCAGAATTAATAATTTAGATACTCACGACCAAACCCAGGAGGTCTGGAACATTCCTCGGGTGTAACAATCCCCTGGAGGAATTGCTCTCAAAGCTAACAAAATTAATTTAATTCAAACAGTTAAATTATTATTGAATAAAATATTATAAGACGAATTGAATTACCATTAATTAAATAAATGAGAAGTAGTATGGAAATTAAGCCGGGTGTGACCCCCAAGGCTCAACACTACCAAAGTCCAATACCTGGTGTCAATTGGTTTGAAGAAACTCCTTGGTTGCTAATGGCTTCCTTCATGGACTCCTCGATGTTACTTGTTTCCACACTACACCACTTCTCTCGACACAACGCACTGCTCAGCTATTTAATGGCTCCCCGAAATACCCCCTCCTACTCTCTTTCTAGGGCCAAAGATCGATGCGCCAAAATGCTAGTCGACAAAGTTATCGATCTCTGGCGACTTATCGATTAAGGGTAATTTACTCTGTTACAAAAATTCAAAAAATAGTGATTCACCAAACCTCTATCACACTTTTGAGCTCAAAGAGCTCAAAAGCATATAAAAGCAATTTTTGGGGGCTCGGAAAGCTCAAAATAACACACAAATCGTATTTATAAGCTCGAAGAGCTGAAAAACGTCATAAGTGCAATTTCAAGTTTTTAGGTATAGAATTGGCGGGAAGTTTCAGGGATGGCCTTCAGGGTCAACCGTTTTCCATTAGGAAAAATTATTTTTCTATTTCTGATGATCTTGCTCGGAGTTCTGCTGATCACGCGGACGCATTTTTTTTCAAGGACTTGCCGGAAATGACGACACATGAGCAGAGTTTTCAATATTTATTTTTTTTATTTCCAGTAATCCCTTATTAAACATAAATCAAGAGAGTAAAAAGTATGAATAAAATATTTTATTTTTTCTGTTAATAAAAAATCTGGAAAACGGTTGACCCTAAAGGCCATCCCTGCAACTTCCCGCCAATTCCATACCTAAACGCTTGAGATTGCACTTATGACGTTTCTGAGCTCTTCGAGCTCAAAAATACAATTTGTGTGTTATTTCGAGCTCTCCGAACTCAAAAAAATAGCTTTTGTATGCTTTTGAGCTCTTCGAGCTCAAAAGGCTGATGTAAGTTTAATAAAACAGTATTTTTTGAATTTTTAAACTGCAATAATTTCTAAATGAATGAATCGATTTTCACGTGTTTGGCAGTATTCCACGCACTTTGTCAGAATCTATGATATACTTTTGAACACTAACTGATCGAACCGAAAATCTTAGAGAAATTTGAGAAATTCACTTTTTCCGAATTTTTTCGACAACGATAACTAACAAACCAATTAGCCAATTTTCACGTTATTGGTAACGATCGACGTGATTTTTTGGGATCTTATAATTATTCTATTTCGTAAAAAATGAGCAAAAAAGAAATCTCGACGTTATGTGAAAAAAACACTTTTTTTCGAAATTTTTTGTTTTTGATAACTCTCGAACGAATCAACCGATTTTGATGGGACTGGTGGCAATTGACGTGGCTCAACAAGTCCAATAGCGATCGACGTATATTTTCAAGTTTAGGAGCTAATTAGTTTTTGGAAGTAATCGGTGAAGCCATTTGAGAGATTTTTTAAAAAAATATTTTTTTTGAAATTTTTCGTTTTCGATATCTCACGAACGAATCAACCGATTTTGATCGGTCCAACGGTGATCGACGTGGTTTTTCAAGGTTAAGAGTTGATTAGTTTTTGGAAGTGATCGGTGAAGCCATTTAAGAGATTTTTTGAAAAAATATTTTTTTTGAAATTTTTCGTTTTCGATATCTCACGTACGAATCAACCGATTTTGATCGGTCCAACGGTGATTGACGTATTTTTTCAAGGTTAGGAGCGGATTAGTTTTTGGAATCGATCGGTAAAGCCGTTTAAAAGTTATTCCAAAAAAACCGTTTTTCGAAAATTTTGTTTTTGAGATTTCTAAAAATCTAGCGAACTGAATCGATTCAAATTTTCACAAAATTTAATGGGTATGATACTCTTTGGATTGCCATCGATTTCGATCCGATCGGCCAAGCCGTTCGAAAGTTATAAGAGGTTTACATACATACATACATACATACACACACACACACACACACACACACACACACACACACACACACACACACCCCATACACACACACATACATACATACATTCATACAGCCGCACGGACATCATCGCAGGAATAGTCAGGGAAGCTTCCTAGGACCTTAAAACGTCGAGATCTGATGAAAACTCGATTTTCGAAAAACGGGGTGAAAACAATAACTTCCCGATTTTTGAAAATTTTCAATTTTCTTAGCGGGAAGTTAAAAATTGTTGAAAATAGGCCATTTTTTCCCGAAGGGAACCCATGCAACCCCTTAAAAAAACAACAGAAATCTGTATTGACGGTGGTTAGGATGATACGTAACAATTTAGTAACTTGATTATAGAAGAATTTAGACCTGATTAAAACTTGATCATGGTAAATAGTGGATTTTTTAACGAGCTGCGTGAGGTATTTGGTATACGAGTTTAGAGTCTGGTAAGAAGGTTAGCAGGTTTATCAAGGAAGTTGGCGGCGCGTGTCAACAGGAAAATTTTTCTAATGCAATGTAAGAAGAATGATATCTACCCGGGCCACATTACGCACAATGTAAAATCGATGTATTTATTATTATTATTAGATGGACATCCGTTTAAATATTTAGTTGAAAAAATTATGAGGAATTTCAAAAATTCAGCCTTGGATATTGAAATTAAAGTTGCACATTGGAAGGTTGCTAAGCTGGACGCGGAAAAGAGGAAGATTAAAGAAGAATTGATGTCGGTGCTTCCAGCACGGATGATGTGTTGGTGTTTACATGTCAACAAGATTAGATATGAGAAGGTTTTCATAAAGATTAAAGTTAAAAATCAAAGAAAATTAAGTCGCTAGTAAGTGATTGTGCAGCAGTAGTTCCAGATGGTGAGGGTACGAATAAGGTGTTGTATAATTTTTTGAACGAACCAGTTCCTCACTTCGTAGAGAATATACTTAGATTGTCACCAAATTTTGGTATAGAATTGGTTCCAAAAAGTGTTCCTATACCAACACTCATTAAAGATATGGAGTTTGGTATCTCAAGGATAAAGGACCTGACCCTCGAAGAGAAAGAATTAGATAATTTAAAGAATAGTGTTAGACTTGGAGCTATTAATTCGATTACTAATTATTGTAATTCTACCAGAAGGTGGAAGAACAGAGATGGTAAGAAGATGAAGCAAGATCTAAGACAAACTAAAGAGTTTCTTGAAAATAGGAAGGACATCGTTGTTATGCGTGCGGACAAAGGGGGAGCGACGGTGTTGATGAAAAAAGATGAGTATGAGCGTGGAATGTTGGAACTACTGAATGATCAGGCTATTTATAAAAAAGTGAATAAAGATCCAACTGCAAGATACCAGAATAGGATTAATACTGTGATAGATGATTTGTTAGAGGAAAAGTTGATTGAGGAGATCCAAGCAAAAAGTTTAAAGTCACATAATTTTTTACCACCAAGACTTTATGGATTGCGAAAGATAAACAAACCAGGTTGTAAGCTTCGCCCTGTTGTAAGTTGCATAAAATCTCCTTGCTATAAACTAGCATAATTCCTTCACAAATTGTTAACACCGTTAACAGATTCATTTAAGTTTAATATCAAGAATTCCATTGAAATGGTAAATTTCTTAAATGAAGTTAGATTACTACCTGATTATGTTTTGGTCTCCTTGGATGTTGTGTCATTATTCACAAACATACCGAAGGCATTAGTGTTGACGATAATAGAAGAGGAATGGGAGTCCATCACGGAGCTGGTTAAAGTCCCAAAAAATACGTTGTGTAATCTCATAAACGTGTGTTTTGAGACTAGTTATTTTAAGTTCATGGATGAGTTCTATCTCCAGCTAGATCGTTCGAGCATGGGCAATCCAGCGAGCCCGGTTTTGGCGAACATTGTGATGGACTACGTTTTGAGGAAAGTAATGGACAGTTTGCCATTCCAGGTACCATTCCTACGGTTGTATGTCGACGATACTTTGCTTGCTGTGCCGGAGGAGGAATTTGACTCCTTATTGGATCGTTTAAATAGCCTGTGTGAAAAAATACAGTTCACGATGGAGGTGGAATCAAATTGACAGCTGGCGTTCCTGGATACTATTGTTATTAGGACGGCTGACGGAGAGTTGAGAACTAAATGATTTCAAAAACCAACATCTTCAGGAAGGTTGCTGAATTTTAATTCACACCATCCCCTTGCTCACAAGACCAGCGTGGTGTTGGGATTATTGTTCAGAGCTTTAAAACTGAGCCATGTTAGTTTTCATGATGAAAATTTAAGAACGGTCAGAAGTATTCTAAAGAAGAATAATTACCCGGATGATTTCATAGATTGCTGTATTGGAAGATTTAATACAGCACACATGAATGATAGTAATACTCAGTCAGGTGACAGACAGGAAAATAGATTCAAGTTTCCGTTTATAAAAAGGCTGTCACAAAGTATTACAAGGTGCTTTGGAATAACTGACTGGAAGCCAGCGTTCTATAACATTAGGAAAGTCAGTCAGATTTATACAAAACTGAAAGATAAGATGAACACTGAGGATATATCTAAGGTTGTTTACAAAATTCAGTGTAGTTGTGGTCTCTCTTATGTGGGCCAAACAAAACAGTATTTAAGAAAAAGGATCTATCAATATATATATAGTTGTGAGGATAAAAATAAGAACAAGGACAATGTGACAGCATTGACGTCTCATCATTTTCAAACAGGTCATCAATTTGATTTTGATAATGTTGCAACGGGTTGTTTTACTTACCGCTCATTGGCCTCTTAATTAATTTAAATAAAAAGCAATACAATAAACAAAATGATTCTAAATTAAAAAGGGCGCCACCAGGATTTTAGAACACGGTTCCTGGAACCGGAAACCAGAGCTGAGCTTATAATCTACAGGGAGAGAGAGAGAGAGAGAGAAAGGTGATCTGTAATGAATAAATTTTTATTTAAACAACGGTACCAAAAATTTATTAACAAAAAAAAATAACAACTCGTGCACTTGCACGTACACTGTCTCACTTAAAACTAACTTAACACTAAACGCTACTAGTCCTCGACTCGGCAATTCATCAACAAGCCGAGAATGTCGTAAACTCAACTAAACTAAACGCCTCAACTCAACTAACTAACCTTAACTCTACTCCACGACTCAACACTACTACTTATTATAAGTACCAGAGAATTTCGGGCTAAAACCGTCGCCTCAACTCAGTGCTAGTCCTCTACTCGGCAATTTATCAACAAGCAGAAAACGTCGCACTAATACTCGATTACCCTACTCGGCAATTCATCAACAATTAAGGGTCGTCCAAAAAATTCCTAATCCCACAGTACCCTCATACGGAGCGTCTATACTGCGGTTTCTAACTTACTGCCGCTGTACCCCACTTGGCGTCTATACAACGGCTTCTAGGACTGTACGAATTACTCTACTCGGCAATTCATCAACAAGCAGAGAACGCGTACAATCGCACACACTTAACCCGCACGATCTTCACACATATAACCCACGCGTCTCCACACACACACTGACTCTACTTTACTTTTATTTCCGGATTTACAAAATTGGACTCCAAAATTTACAACGTTAATTTTTACTAAAATTTTCCAGTCATTAGCTCGCAATTAAAATCATGAATTATTTCCACGACGAATAAAATAAGATTCTCAATAACTTCGACTTAAAACCGACGCTTCTTTCTTCTTCCAAAATTACCACGAGTTTAACTCAGCACATTAAATAAATTCTACGAATATTCTTTATAAAGTTAACTAAATTTTCTCGGACGTAATCCACACTGACAAATAGTTTTACAAAAAATTTTATCGGAACGATGATATTAAATTATTGACAAATTTTCCAGAACATGAGTTCAATGTATAAAGACAACCCAAGTAGAAATTGGCAATTAAATTAGATCGTTAATTAGTAATTCCCTCAATATAAAAATTAATTGCCTAGAGTTTATCTACGGGTATATCAGTCTTATCTGCGCCAAAATTCAGCAATTTAATTCTCAATAATTAATATCATGTTGAATAAATATTTTCTGATAATTAAGAATGTCAAATAATTACGATGGACGATAATTCAATTGTTGTAATTTACAATAATAGTCCAATTGTTAATTTTACGGTTTACTGCGTAGTATGATTCACAAAGAATTTGCGCGCCAAAAATGGACGCCGACGTTCGTAACCGCGTAGCACGTTTTGACCTCGGGTACCGAATACTATGTCGTGTCGATTAGAACCTTCTCGATGCTCAGAAATTAATTAATATAAAATAGATTTATTTAAACCAATCCAAGATGTTAATAATTATTAACCAGCTGTATTAATAAAATTAATTATTCACGACTTGCAAACTCAAAAGGTCTAGATCATTCCTCGGGTGCAAAATCCTCAAGAAGAATGCTCACAACGCTAACGAATGCTACACACTGAATTTAACGAATCAAATCAATTAAATAATTAATTGTTACTAAGCAAGTTATTGTTAAAAAATTGAAATATCCAAAATTAATTGATAATGAGAAGTAGTATAATTGATGAGCCGGGTATTTGGTCCCAAGGCTCATCACTATCAAAGTCCAATACCTGGTGTAAATTGGTTTGAAGAACTCTTGGGCTACCTTCTTGGACTCTTCGATGTTACTTGTTTGTACACTTCACTACTTCTCCCGACACAACGCATGGCTCACCTATTTAACGACTGCCCAAAATACACCCTCCTCATCTCTCTCTAGGCCCGAAGATCGATGCGCTCAAATGCTTGTCGAAAAGTTATCGATTTCTGGCGACTTATCGATTAAGGGTAATTTACCCTGTTACAATGTCAAAATTTTTGACAATGAATCAAATGGTTTGAAAAGAAATTACAGTGAGATGATCCAGATCTGCTTGTTTGATACTGTCAATTGTAACACTGAAACTGAAAATTTAAATTGTCTTTATTTTGGTCTGATTGACAAATTTAAATTGGCGGGGAACGCTCACGCTACCTAGTTTTGAACTGTCAGTTACTAGGGACATATGGTATGGCAGGTTTACAGTTAGTAACTTCCAAACAACAAGGACTGAAACCTCGTGTTTATCTTGAAGGTTATTATTGATGATTTATTACTTATCAATATTAACTGAATAATAATAAGAAATTTTTAAACACATTGTTGACGAGGTTTTTATAATATATTTAATTGGATGTGGTTCATTGGATTTATCACAGACTCTGAAAAAAATTTTTGATTTTGTAAAAAATGTAAAAAGTTTTTGTATATTGTTGAAAAATACCATGCGCAGTAATATTTGTAAATTAAGGACTATGTGTTTTTGTATTGTAAAATTTTAAGGTATTTATTTAAAAAAAAAATTTTTTTTTGACTTTTATATTATGTTGAAATTGACTTGAAAAAATTTGTTAATATTTATTTGTTTGTCAACACATAGGTGCCTGATGATGTCAGAATAAAACTGACGAAACGTCGCATGTTAAAATAAATGAAATAAAAAACATAACAGCATTTTGGTCTACAACATCGTGATTTTTACTTGAATTTAGTAACAGCTATCTTTATATTCTTTTTGTAAGTAAATAATAAGCTGAGAGGAATTAATTACAACTTCACAAAATAGTATGAAGTTGCCATTTACATTCCATGGCTGCCCACGAGATCGATGAAGAGATTAAGTATAGATTAACTTAAAATACTGATATTTTTATAATTAATGGCATTGATTTCCTCCATGTTGACATGATACCTCCACAATATTAGCCATGAAAACCACTTTTTCATGTCAAAGATAGCCATTAATCGATTAAAAAAAAATTTTATTGAGTTCAGCAACAGTTTTTTCGACGAAAATGCGCTTTTCATACGATTATTATGAATAACTTTATTCGAATTATGTTATATTTATTATGAGAATCATTTCTTTATTTGAAAACAAGATGTTTTCATCATAAGAATCTGCATAAGAAAATTTGTTTTTGTTATTATAACTTGTTTCAAGTAAGCGAAAGAAGTTGTATCATATATTCAAAATGCATTGTGTAATTATGAATTTATGAGGTCCATCTGGTGTAATTAATTACAACAAAAATATATTGATTTTCAGATCTTTACCAAAGTTAAGCAGCCAAGACGATGATGGACCAAATTCTCACACTCACTACATAGGAGTAGCACATTTTGAACCGATTCCACATGATCATGATTTTTGTGGAAGAGTCGTAATTAATGTAAGAGTTTATCAACTTCTAATTGACTTTTACAAATATATTTATCATATACTTCTTTTTCCTATGATAAAATTAGCTGTTAAAGACTGTACGTCATTGCACTACAGACGACATTGCACTACAAAAAATAATCATTTAGCGCCATCTATTAATGAAAAAATGTACTAAAAAAATAAAAAATGATTTTATCATAAATTAATTTCAAAATAAACCGAAAGATGGCTGAAATCCCACCCAAATCCGCTAATCAGTTGGGGGGAGATGTTAACAGAAGGATAAAAGTTCCTTCCAGGTGTAATTATTAATATTCCCCTGGAACTATTCGTAATAATATGACCGCAAGGTCTCGAAATTTCAAAGTCATACTAAAACGGGAAACCCTGACTGTAAAAAAAATAGGACCAGGTGTATAAAATGATCATCACCTGGAACTCCAGGAACTGTTGTAACAATTGGGTACACCAGGTGCCAAACTTCCCAGAAAATAATGAACTGGTTCACTTTCACCAAGTAGACGATACTTACTGCGGTTCCGGAAGATTTAAATGATAATCTCTAGGAACTCTTGTTGTAATTAGATACACCAGGTACCGAACTCCCCAGAAAATATTGCACTCGGTCACTTTCTTCCAGTGAACGATAATTACCGTGGTTCAGGGTGATTTATCTAATAATCTCCAGGAACTCTTGTTGTAATTACTCACACCAGGTATCGAACTTCCTAGAAAATAATGGACCGGGAAACGTTCACCTAGTGGGCGATAATTACTGTGGTTCCGGGAGGTTTATTTGATAATCTCCAGGAACTTTGGTTGTAATTACTTCCAACAGGTGTCAAACTCCCCAAAAAATATTGGACTAGGTCACTTTAAACTAGTGAACGATATTAACTGTGGTTCCGGGTGATTTATTTGATAATCCCCAGGAACTCTTGTTGTTATTGCTCACACCAGGTGCCAAACTACCCACAAAATATTAGACTGGGTCACTTCCACCTAGTGAACAATACTTACTGTGGTTCCGGGTGATTTAAATGTTAATCCCCAGGAACTCTTATTGTAATTACGTCCAAAAGGTGCCAAACTCCCAAAAAAACATTGGACTAGGTCACTTTCACCTAGTGAACGAAATTTACTGTGGTCCAGGAGGTTTATTTGGTAATCTCCAGGAACTTTGGTTGTTATCACGTCCAACAGGTGCCAAACTTCCAAAAAAATATTGGACTAGGTCACTTTCAGCCTGTAAATGCTATTTACTGTTGTCCGATTGATTTAAATGTTAATCTCCAGGAACTCTTGTTGTTATTACTCACACCAGGTGCCAAATTCCCCAAAAAATTTGAACTAGGGCACTTTCACCTAGTGAACAATATTTACTGTGGTTCCAGGTGATTTAAATGTTAATCTCCAGG